ACCACCATAAATGTTGGATTTGACACTCAGGGGTGAATGTTACTTCACATTCTTGCTTCCTAGGGAACGCTTTCTGGCAGGCACTTAAAGGTCTCCTAAACCTAGGTGTGTGAATGGGAAAGAGCATCTTAGATTTTGGTCTTAGTCCACCTTCAAGGTGAGTGCTAAGTCAATTAAATGGTCAAGACATCTTTTAGTGTTTTCAAATTGAACAGGAAAAGAAGTTTACGTATTTATTTATTTTTGCCCTCTTTTGGGGGGAAGGGTCACCCTGGCCATGCTCAAGGCTGAGTCCTGACAGTGCACTCAGGGATCACTCCTCGTAGTGCTCAGGGATCATGTGGGATGCCAGACCTCGAACCTGGATTGGTTGTGTGCTAGGCAAAGGGCCTCTGCGCAGTAATTTATCTTCGGAGCCAGCATTTCCTTCTCCTTAGTACTATTCCAAATGACTCCAGCCTGCTCTTTCAAACTCAGTGAAAATACTAACCACTGAAACTTGTCTGCAAGTACTAACTGGAACGTGAAATTATTGTAGTTGGTATACATATGTGTCTTTACATGCTTTTTTTTTCACATTTGGCAATGCACACTGGTTTCCACCTGGATTTGCACTCAGGGATTACTGCTGGCGGTGCTCAGGGGACCATATGGGATGCTGGGAATCAAACCCACATTGGCCACGTGCTAGGCAAACACACTACCCGGTGTACTATCGCTCCAGCCCCTGTCTTGCATTCTTTTCTCCAAGCTGTGTTATCAAGTAATTTCTGAATATCAATTTTAGTTCAGGGCCTTATGTTTATGTGTACGACACACATGTTTGCTTTATATCCAATGAGTTAGGAGAAGCAGGCATAGGAATCTAGTCATCTTTATGAAAGTATTCTCTTACCAAGTAAATGATTTATACTCCAGTATGCTCTGTTTCTAGATCTCTGATAAGTTCTCCCACTGAAATAAATTCAGTCTAACCTAATATTTAGTTCTTCTCTCATCAAATTCCTCAAATCCGTTACCCTGTATATTCTTTGGGTCTAGATTATGGGATCACGGCATGGCAGAACCCCTGATGCTTCACACTTCCCATTGGTTTTGGTTGACTTACTCATCACAGAAAATTAGGGCGCAGGGTTTGATGGGTATGGTATTGGTGTTATGTGTTCGTGAAAATGATTATCAATGCTATTATACATCTTGTACCTCAGTAAACATGCTGAAAAAAAAGAGAGAATGAAGAGGATTATACATAAATATATAACATCAACAAGTAACCAAAGGATAATAAGGCAGTCAATATTTTGGTCTATACTTTGCAGGTTTTTCTAATGTTAAAAGAAACCACACACCCGTATGGAAACCCCGCCCCATACCTGCCTCTCCCCACCACAAAGAAATAAGATGGTGAAAAAAAGGACAATGGCATCAAGTTTAGATGAGATCTTCCAATCACTTTGTGAAACACCCATTCTGGGAGGAGAACCAACCAGGCATATCCCCGGGTGATATGTGAACATATATCCTCAGCCTGGCCAATTCTGCTGACATAAAGAAGGGATCTGACAGCCTCAGCTGCAGATTGGACATGTTTAGTTCCACTTCCCTTTTAAGTATATAAGACCAAGATGACTGCCCTCCGACGTCCTGATGGATCCATCACATCCTCCAGAACGGCAATGGAGAAGATTATCCATGACTTCTACTCAAATCTCTTCGATAGCCATGTCCACTTGCCGACATACCAAATTCCACAGGATGGGTATGTCGTTCGTAACGTTCTCCCTTCCGAAATCCGACACGCCATTTCGTTGGTAAAGAAGCAAACAGCACCCGGCCCAGACAAGGTCAGACCTGAACACCTGAAGAACCTGCCGTCAGTACTCATCAATACACTGGCTCGGTTCTTCACTCGCTACCTGTCTGAATGCAAGGTTCCGTCCCAATGGAAAACCAGCAGGACCATACTACTGTTCAAGAAGGGAGACATCCATGACATTGGCAACTATCGCCGGATCTGCCTATTGTCTGTCATCTACAAGCTGTTCACTCGAGTCATCCTGAATAGGATTGGCAGAACACTAGATGAAGGACAACCATGCGAGCAAGCAGGGTTCCGCAAAGGATTCAGCACCATCGACCATATCCACACGGTAACCAAACTCATTGAGGTTTCTCGGGAGTTCAAGATGCCGCTCTGCTTAACGTTCATTGATTTAAAGAAGGCCTTTGATTCTGTTGAGACGGAAGCGGTCATTGAAGCCCTAGCCAATCAGGGCATTCAAGCCCAATACATCAGGATCCTCCGTGAGCTGTATTGCGGATTCACTACCAGGATCTCACCATTCTACAAAGAAGTGATCGTTGATGTCAAGAGAGGGGTGCGGCAGGGTGATACCATTTCACCGAAACTCTTCAGTGCCACCCTCGAGAACATCATGCGACGACTGGAATGGGAAGGAATGGGAGTGAAGATAGATGGTCGGCAATTACACCACCTCCGCTTTGCTGATGACATTGTTTTAATAACACCAAACATCAGCCAAGCGGCACAAATGCTGGCCGACTTTGACCGTGAGTGTGGAAAGGTAGGACTACAGCTGAATCTTACGAAGACAATGTTTATGAGAAACAGCCTTGTTCCTGACGCCCCATTCGCTCTCAATGGAACGACCATCTCCGAATGCAACAGCTATGTGTACCTAGGTCGAGAGGTCAACATGAGAAATGACCTGGCACCCGAGCTGCGCAGGAGGAAGAGAGCGGCTTGGAACGCCTTCAAGAAAGTCGAAGAAATAGCTAAGAGGACGAAGAACCTCCGGCTCCGGGCACATCTCTTTGATTCCACTGTTCTTCCTGCATTAACATATGCCTCAGAGACCTGGGCCCTACGCAAACAAGATGAGAACGACATTCAGGTCTCCCAAAGAAGAATAGAAAGAGCTATGCTTGGAATATCACGTTTCACTCAAATGAGAGAACGAATCCGGAGTTCTGACATCCGTCGACGATCAAGGATCAGGGACGCTGTCTCATATGCCAAGGCGTCGAAAATCAGGTGGGCTGGTCACGTAATGAGATTTAAAGACGACCGTTGGACTAGAGCTGTTACTGATTGGATTCCACGGGATGTCAAGAGACCGCGTGGCCGCCCACCTACCAGATGGTCAGACTTCTTTGTAAAGATCATGAACGATCGGATTGAGGCCCTCCATGTTCCCAGAGCGAAGAGATGCCATTGGGCTACACTAGCACGCGACAGGAACAAATGGAGACGTTACTGGCGCCCGCTCGAGCAAATCGACGACTAAAGGGAAGTTAAGTGATTAAGTGATTAAGTTCCACTTCCCTTTTAAGTATAAGCAACGGTGGTCCATGGAATAGTCCCAGCCTCACCCAAAAGTTTTGTTTCTTCTTCCTATACTTTTTCTATCCTGGCATGAAATAATTCATTTAAGAGGGCATCTACAGCTCCTCAAATCAATTCCAAATGTTAAAAAGTTGGGGTGGGAATGTAGCCCACTTTAATTCATTTTTAGGGGTGCAATACTGTTGGGGACTGGCCTAGGTAGCCCCTGCTTGTTTTCCCTGGGAATGGAATGAGCAGGGGAAAAGTTGGCATGTGTGAGTGCCATGCCCTGGCAGTTGACTCTGTTAAGGGAGCCGAAGGGAAGGCTGCACCTGATCCTCCTTGGCCAGGCCTGTAGCCACATTCTCATTCCTGTCCTGTTTTGCTGAGAAAGTTCAAGGAACTGCCCACATATGCAGCTGCAAAACAGAATAACAGCATAGCCCGCTCAACTTGGAACCCTTGGCTATCCCACAAAGTGTTCACTGCATATTGTAAAAGCAAATGTGCTTTGCAGTAGAGTCAGTGTATGCTTCATACAGTCCTCCCTACCCCAGTCTTTGCAGAAGTCATGCCTTATCTGGGTTATCGTTCGACTAGTCACATGTGCTGTGGCACAGTACATATTAGGGACAGAAAATACTCAAATAAGCTAAGCACATGAAAAAGTCTCTGGTTCAATCCATATCACCATGTGGTCCTGCAAACACTGATGACGAAGCTCCCTATCAATTACCCAAAGCAGCCTTCAAGCATCACTAAAATAACTCCTTACTCAAATTTTAAAAAATCAGGGACTAGAGAGATAATACAGTGGACAAGGCGATTGCCTTGCACAGGGCAAATCCAGATTCGACACGAAGTATACCCTATGGTCTCCTGAACACTGCCAGGAGTGATTGCTGAACCAGAGCCAGGTACCAGAGCACCAAGCAGTGTATGCCCCAAGCAAAAAGTAAAATTAAAACACACTAAGTTTTTTTTTAAATTAGTAATAAATATGGGAAAAATTTAACTAACTACTATATCTGTCAAGATTATCTTTGTTGGACTACAAAGGAAGTCAAGTGGCAGAGAACAGGCAGAGTACATGCAGACCTGAGTGTGATCCCAGGAATAGCTGACTGTCAGGCACCCTGTGTATGGGCTCCAAGCCTGCCCACCCAAGCACTCCTGGATAATGAGGAGGACTTGGGTCTCGGTTTAGGGAGCAACCATCCCTATTCATCAAAATTTCAAAGCAAACTTTGGCAAAATGGGAGGAAGTCTTTTGTTTTGGAACTGAAGCTGCTGTATTTGCTGAAGGAACAATCTCTCCCTTCTCTCCCCCCCGCCCCGCCCTCTGTGTGTGTCTGTGTGTGTTTGTGTGTGTGTTTACCTGAATATAGTGTGAACTAAAAGTTTCACTTTTAAGCATCAGTGAATTTGAGAAAAGAGAGCAACTGATATGCTCCATGGCAGCGAGAAGCTTGCTTGTTTTTATTTTCCTGTTCAATTAGAAAATACTAAAAGATGACTTGGCCATTTAATTGATTTAGCGCTAGTGCTTGGACTGCACTGAAACCAAAGTCTAAGACGGTCTTTCCCATTCACACACCTAAGCGTGGGAGACCTTTAAGTGAGACTTGGCTTCATGTTGGCCAGAAAGCATTCCCTAGGAATAAAGAATGTGAAGTAATGTCAGAGACAACAAGTTCCTCAAATCTTGTTTTTTAGCAACTATAAGCATGCGTACTCCTTGATTTTCTGATATCCTGGTTATTTTATGAAGTTCAGTTTTGGCTTCTTCCATTCTTTCAACATCAACAGAGTCCACGACAAACACAATGCCATCTGTGCATCTGGTATATGACTTCCACAGTGGCCATAATTTCTCCTGACCACCTACATCCCAGAAGTGGAAAGTGACAGTTTTAGAATTTCCCAAAGTTACCTTAATTATTTCAGTGTTAAATCCTTTGGTAGGTATGGTATTTACAAACTCATTGAATTGCAGCCTGTATAATACAGTTGTCTTCCCAGCAAAGTCCAAACCCAGAATAACAATGTGGAAGGACTGAAATGAAGGCAGGCTGGACAGGATAGAAGTCTGGTCTGACAGTCCATTCCCCATTTCCAGCTGTAAATAAATGTTCCAAATTGAAATGCTTTCTTTTTAGCGCTTCGGAACGTCTCCTCTTAGGGGAATCCAGCTACAAGATTGCTCCCAAACTGGAGTCTGGGGCCAAATGAGAAAGCATTGGTAAGCGTTTCCACGCGGGGTGAAGCACCCTACACGGTCCAAGGTCTCCATGCAACTCTGGCTGGCGCAGCACTGTCCATCCTTCCCTCGTCGGGGCTCAGCGATGCTCACAGCGGCTCTGGAGTCCGCTGACAGCAGAGCACCAGCGAGACTTGAGCAGTGGCGGCGGGGACTCACCACTCCTCCAGGTGCCAGGCGGGCGGGGCGCCAAGCCGCCCTAACGGTGCTCCGCAGCCTGCAGTGGACAAACTGGCAGGCTACCGAATGTAACCTGCCCATACGACAGAGTCTGGCCTACTCCCCGTGGCGTACCCAATATGCCAAATACCAGTAACAATGATGGGTCTCATTCTCCTAAGTCTGAAAGAGCCTTGAGTATGGCACTTTTTTGAAAATCTCAGGGCTAGAACAAAGGAGACGTTACTGGGGCCTGCTCGAGGCAATCAACAAATAAAAGGATGGTCGTGATGATCGTAATGAAGTAGTGTACAAATTTACGGTGGAGATTATCTCATCAACAGTCATGCTCCAGAGACTCATTGCCCTTTTCTATGGAAGAGAGCATAAAATTACTCGCATAAGCCATGCCATTGGAACCCTTGCCAGGCTGATTCTTGTGGGGAACACTGAAAGGGGGCAGGTGAGGCCCCTCACCACCCCAAGGGAACAAGCCTCAATAGCCTAAAAACTCCAGAACTCAAATGACGTCATGCTCATATATGCTCTGCACACATTCGTGCTGAGACCCATCCACGAGTGAACCTATTTCTGGACATCACCATAACTCACACCACTCATACTCCAAGAGTAGCACACCACGTGGTTTAAAGAATAAGGCAATGAATCTTAGAGGGAAAGATATTTTTACATATATATATATATATATATATATATATATATATATGCACATCAAGTTCAACCCTTAACAACATAACAGTAATCTCTTAGAGAAGGGCATAACAGCTGGCTCCAGGGTGAAATACAACAATCTTCCACACACTCCTCTAAGGAAAGTTGTCTGGAGCATTTTCAGTGGTGTATTCATAACAAATAATACAAAATAAATTATTTGGGTCTGCTTTGGGACAGAGGTTGGAGTGTGGGATGGAAATATCAAAAAATGGTGGTGCGAAGGTGTAATGTTGGTGGAATTGGTGTTCAATTATTAAATGAAATCAAATATTGTGCACTACTTGATAAAAATTTAAAAAAAACTTTTTGTTGTTACAATACAAATAAATGATCTAGATCCTGAAAAAAAATTTTTTGCTGGTGGGATTTCAGACAAGAAATGCATTTTCAAGAGAAGAGTCAAGGTTATTCCCAGAGACTCAAGAGGACCCAGGGAAGAGCAGGGTTTGAGAGAGAACAAGCAGGACCCTTTCTGCAGATAAAGCACAGGGCAGGATGACGGCGGGGGCGGGGTATGGGGTGGAAAGTAGGAAGGCAGTTAGAGCAGAGGAGACAGAGAGGGCCCAGGAAGGGAAGGCCAAGTGAGGTGGGGGGAGACAGTGGACATAGGACTTCACACCCCTCTGGAACCCTAATGAACTCTTCCCCCTTTGTGATGCAGGCGGCCCTATATAAGGCAGAGCCACCCGCTCACGCTCAGTTGCCATAGGCAGCTTGTGGTCAGGATCATGGAGTTCGGTATATGGACTCTGATGGTTGTGATGACACCCCGGACTGATACTCTATGGGGCTTAGGCTAAAAGCTGATCAGTAGCAATCCCACCCCCCTTTTCCTGGGGTGTTAGGGGTGCTCTCCCTTTTCATTGTTTGCCTGGAAACAGCATCCTTCATGGCCTTCTGTAAGGAAAAAGTTGACCAAAAGGTAGGAGCCGGGGCCAGTGCTTGAGCCATTTGGTGGGTGGTGGTGATTTCTATTACTTCTCACACACATGAAGTTGAAACATGAATTTGTTTGGTTTAGCGCATCAATAGATTGGGTCATCTAGGAGAAAGTAGGGCCTAGTTGCCAAGGAGGACAGACTGGTTGGGAAGGGGTTCATTGAAGAGAGAATTACCTGAACTTCACAGACGGTGTGGGGTGACAGGTCCCCATTACTAAAATCCTAACTAGTGCCATCATACTAGAGCCAGCTTCCATTGAGACTTTAAGGTCTCTTCGAACAGAAAAGTCCTACCACGACTTCCCTGGTTGGGAGGGAGACAAACTCATCCTCCTGTCAGCCCTTCAGGAGAGTGGAGTGGGGGAGCCCTTCCCCAGAACTTGGGGTCCTGTGGGAAGGAGCACAGGAAGTACATCCCTGCCTGACGTCCCTGAACAGGGGCCAGCTATCAACATCGAAATGCTGTGTCGTTCTGTGGAGAAAACTTGGAAACACAAAATCAAAACTAAAAACAAAGCATTTCATGACATTTTAGGATGGATTTGCGGGAGAAACTCACCTCTCTGTTCCTGTGAGACTCCTATGGGTCATGTGTGGACATCAGAGCTTCAGAGAGGGGAGTCCAAAAGTGGATCCCAAATGATCACTGATTCTTTCACTCCTCAGAGGCGCAAGAGAGCTAGGAAAAGCAGGAGGGTCTCGATCCTGAGAGGTGAGTCTCTGCCTTTTCCATCTGAGCTCACCCACAGTGGCCCCTCCTTCCTCCCCTTCCTCCTGCTGAGCTCGGAGCCTCCCCAGAGACCATGGATCTAAAGGGCTCTGACAGAAGCCACAGGCCTCTGAGAGTCTTTTGCCCTTTGCTGCTCCTCGTCAGCTGTTGAAGCTCACAGAAAAGAGCATGCCTGTGTGCCTTCCATGGCCCTATGAAGGTGCCACTGTGACACCTTCACTAATAAAAGCCACTCTCCCTGGTTCCTAGGTGCGAGGTACCACTTCAGCCTGGCTGAGCTGCAGCAAATACAATCTATCCGGAATTTACAACGGTATGTGTTCGCCATCCTTCCAGACCCAGCATCAGGAGGGCTGCCCAGGTCTGCCTGGGGAGGGGAGCCAGAGGAACAGGGTTAATAGGAAGGCCTTGGGGGAGGGGATAGAGAGGACAGGAAGCCCTGAGGGTGATAACAGAGTAGGGGACAGACTTCAGAACCTCTCCCATGTGACTGGCTTCTGGTCCTCACTCTGCCCTCTCCAAGGCCCTCTGTTCCCTGCCTTCAGCAGCCCCCTGGAGGCATACTGCAAGGACCCACATTGGGAGCACCTGCTGTGCATCAGCCCTTCCTGCAGGGTCTGCAGGGACAAGGCCATCCCGGCTCCTCCAGCAGTCCCCACCATGCTGCTACATCTGGCTCTTTCCCGCCATCCATGATCCCGATGGGCCGTCCAGGCCCTGTTGCCTCTGCAGCCCATCCAGGAAAGCCAACGTGTGTTCCTCTGCCCTGCACTGTCCTCTCCACTCGCTCCAGGATCCCGGGTCTGGCCCTCACCCCACTCTGCGACCTGCAGTTCCCTTCGCCACTGCATCATCCTGGCCCACCACAAGAGCCTGGCAGAAGGCCCTCTGTACTTCTGCTCCACCACCTCCTCTCGGCCCCCCTCCTTCTACTCATCCCTCCTCTCGCAGCTCTCCTGGGAGTGCAGAGAAGGAGAAATCTCCTGAAGTACTCCACGCTATTGTCTGGGCCCCAACCCCTCCCTCCCTCTGAGACCCTTGGCCACACCGCAGATCTCTGTCCCTTCCCTGTGTGTGCCTCTGGTCCTCCACATCGCAGGGGGTTATATTATCCCCCAGCACCTTCCAGGAGACGAAGGGTGGCCCCCCAGATTGCTAGTGTGGACACAGAGAATGAGCCCAGTGTCTCACATGGCAGAGGCAGCAGGGGAGGTGCAGGGAGCAGGGCATGTCCCTGGCCATGGCTGCAGATGCCTCCCAGAACACGGCCCCTCCCGTGGGTGCCGTCCCTGCTCCCTGCCACTCAGAGGCCAGGACTCTCAATGGGCAGCAGCATCCAGAGCCATGTGCCCTCAGCCAGTCTCCTCAAGCAGTTGACACTCAACACACTCAGTCTGGCCGCCCCCGCATTTTCCTAAACTTCTATTGGAAGATCAGGAGTCCCAGGCACTTATTCCTAAGGAGACAGTCTCCCAGAATGGGCCACTTCATGAGAGCCCTGAGGTGCTGTGTGCCCTGCCTCTGTGTCCAGAACGACTTGTGAAAACAGGCTGACAGTGAATGATTCCAAGGACAAACCCCCTCTGCCGAACCTCCTGGTCCCCCATCACCTTGTCTCACAGGGAGCCCGTGTCCCACCCAGATACCACCTGCTGGGCACCAAATCCTTCCCATTCTCCCCAGGGCCCTCGGAGGCACGAATGCAGACCCTCAGCCCATCGTTCCTGTATTCTTACCCATTAAATAATTTACAATCCTACTCTGATGTTTGTCTGTTGTGTTGGAGCTGGAGTTGAGGGACTGAAGAAGTTTTTTCAGCTCTGAGAAAAGTGCCCTGGAGCTTGTGGGAACAGGAGGAACCATGTGCCACCTGCCCAGGTTTCCTCTGAGAGCAGCTGTAGGCCTTAGTGTTCCCAAGAACCACAGCAGCGTGACTCTCCCTCTCTGGAGGCTTCCTGGCCTTCCAGATATGGGGTTGAGGTCTCCGAAAAGAATGAAGGACCCGTAGCTCTCATAAAAATAATTGCAAGAATGAGAGTCCTCCTTGGTGCTTAGAGACCAGTGATTAGGGGGTCTCACCCAAATGAAACCTAAATGCAGGGTTGGAGACACCTGGCACCTTCCTGGGACCCTAAGCTGGTTGGGGAAGGGACCATGATGTGTTTGAGGTGGGAACCCAGACCTGGTTTGGTGGGACCCTGACCTAGAGAGACCCTGACCTGGGGGGATGCTGACCTGGGGGAACTCTGACCTGGACAGACCGTGGTCTGGTTTGGAGGGACCCTGAC